CAGCCTCCTGGCATCTGCAGCATCGTGCTGCTGCTAGAGCACAGCGAAATATCTCTGACAGTGGACAACGTAAATGGGGTGCCGGTGAAATCGATCTGTCGGTCGCATGTCGAAACCGTAGAACTTATCCACACGTCGCGTGGTTTCCGTTGTTTTCTTGAACAATGCTGACAGCAACAAAGTCAGAAGACTCTCTCCTCGCCAGTGTTTTTCCTAAGAAACTGACCCAAGAAACTGAAAAAATGAAATAGGGTGTACCAAAAAATGTACAAAAATCCCTTTTCACCGTCACTATCTCCATGTCGCGCTCTATATCTGGCATTGTTGCTGAATTCCTTGCCTCGTTACGTCTTCGCTTCCAACTTCGGCAGGGTGATGCTTCGTCCCCCTGCTTGTTGAGGGTGCGAACCGAGGTTGCTTTAGGTGGCGCGATATCCAAACCACAACGGATTCGGTATGCAGCTATCATTTTTTGACGTTCATTGTGGTGTTTCATCTGCGCGGTATTCGAGGTCTGACTCGGGGCCATACCCTCGAAGACGCAAACGGTATCGGTAGTTAAAAGGAGTCCTCGGACCCCGACCACTTTTTTTTGTGGCTTACTACTTTGTCTACAACATAAGAATCAATTCTTAATTGGGCCCTTGGGTGATCGACAGCGGGTAACGGAATCTGTCGCCCTAAACAGAACTCAGGGAGTTTTTCAAAGTCGGGCGCAGGAGGTGTTTTCCTCGCAAAATATCGTTTAATTTGGGCTGNAACGGAATCTGTCGCCCTAAACAGAACTCAGGGAGTTTTTCAAAGTCGGGCGCAGGAGGTGTTTTCCTCGCAAAATATCGTTTAATTTGGGCTGAGTGAACCGAAACTTCTCGAGTTTCTTTTGGGCGTCTCACTCGGTATACTACAGGTGATAGTTGCGGGCAGACGACGTATGGTCCCCGCCAAGGTAACGACAGCAATTTCGGGTATGGGCCATCGGAATCCTGATATGGTCTGTATACCAGTACTTGATCACCAGGTTTAAACACGGGAATCGGTCTCAGTTTGGAATTATTTACTGTTCGTACGCTCCGTTAAGTTTCGGCGCGCTAATTCGAAAGCAATTTGTAATTTCTCCCGCATGTCTTTCGCAAGTTCTTCGGTATTGGCTGTTGTTCCTACATGAGGAATACCGAGAATGATATCGACAGGTAGTCGTGGTTGTCTACCAAACATGAGAAAAAATGGAGTTTCATGCATGGTTGCACTAAAAAAGAAGTGCTATGCGCCAGTTGTATGAAGGGTAGTAGCGATGCCCAATTATCTTGCTTCATTCAACTATCATGGCAAGCATTGCGTGCGTCGTTGAATGTAGTTGTTCTGACACAGAATTTCCTTGCGGACAATATGGCGTCGTGCGGGTTTTCTTGTAGTTTAGAATACTCTGTATCTGGTGGATCACACTAATAGTTAGTAGGCCCTTGATCAGAATGCAACATCTCAGGCGGTCCAAAAATGCCTATGATGCGGTCAATGATACAGTGCCGGCCAACTTGTAAGAAACACCCTCGTGAGGAACCGAGGCTCAGATTTTTGGGTTGCAAAAAAAGAAAAAGCGCCTAAGACATTGAGCTACTTTGACGGAGAGTGATAAGAAACGGACTGACTGACTGACTGATGAGAAACAGCACAATTTCGACTTCCTAGTCATTAGAAACAGATGAGCCAAGGTTGGCCGCAGGAAATAAGAAACGGCGTCCACGCGCATATAATGGGCGTGGGCCTTCTTTCGCCGCAGGAGGGTATGATCTCCTTGAGACCGCGTCGACGGACCCCGCAGAAGCGCCGCCACCGCTCACAACAAAGCACGAAAATATTCTGCGGAGGATTCTTTTGGTTCACCATCGAGTTTGCGGACGCTGTTTCGAATCCTGGCAGTGCCCTTTATTTTTACTCTCGTGTATTTTGTCAACTTTTTTTTCTGCAACACTTGCAGCTGGTGTCAAAGTGTGCCAATCTGGCCGGCAGAGAAACCAAAACACGAAATGTTTCGCGGGAGATTCTTTTGGTTCACCATCGAGTTCGAGGACGCGGTTTTGAATCCTGGCACTGCCCGTTGTTTTGCTCTCGTGTTTTTTTTCAACTTGTCTTTTCAGCGACACTTGCTGCTGTTGTCGAAGCGTGCCAATCACGTGCCGCTGCCTTTGAAAATGTCTGTTGTAAATTACTTGGAGGGACAGTTGACAAACATTTTTTGCTGCACTCTAAAATCCCCGTACCCCGGGCCTCGCTTTGCTGTTGTTTTCTCGCAGATCAAGCGTATCCGCAATGGCATCGTGGAGGAAGTCACCCGCGTCCACTATCCCATCGCACCACCTCCTCCCAACTTGAAGTGCCTGTACTGCCCGAAGACCTTTGCCTCCGAACAAAGTCGATCGCTACACTGTAGTGCCGTGCACCCAGCTCCTCCTCTTCGGCATCTTGGACGAGGGCTCAGGCGCGCCCTCGCGACGGGTGGGACCATGACGACTCCACCTTGACACGGGTATTCGGGCAGGTGTTTTAATGTCGTCTTTCACCACTTAGAGGGAGGCGGGCACACCACTGCGGCGGGCCAGAAAATGTACCACGTGCGAGGGAGCTGTTCGTTTGAGCTGCGGCCAAGGACCCGAGGCGATGGTACATCAGACTTGCCAGATGATGGCCTTTTGTCGGACGAAGAACGCACCAAGCGGAAGAAAACACGAGGGGCTGAGAAGAGGACGCAGTACAGCAACAGGAAGAAGGCTGCGGTGGTCGCGGAGCTGCGAGAGCTGGAGGCCGATCACGCCGAAAAGATCTGGCATGTTCACGGCGTATCCTGCCAGCAGTTCCAGGCAAAGAAGACCGGTATTCCCTAACCCAACATCTGCAAGTGGAACAGTGACGCAGAGAAGCTGATCGCAGCCGCGGCCAATGACTTGAAGAAAGACCTTTTCAAGACTGGCAGGGAGAGGAAGTGGTCCGGAGACGCCGAGAAGAAGCTGCACTCGCTGCTGCTGCAACGGCGCAAGAGGAAGCTCAGAGTGTCGACAGCCTGGATTCGAGTCGACGCGAGAAAGCTCGTGGTGGAAATGTATCCGGACGACCCGCGTGCGAAGAACTTCTCAGCGTCGGACCGGTGGTGCAGGAAGTTCGCGAAGCGCCACCATCTCTCGAAACGAAGGCGCACAAACATGAAGAACAAGTCGGTGGAGGACCATCTTCCGCAGATGAAGAGGTTCCACAGGAGGCTGCGCCAGCTGCTGCAGGAACCACCCGTTCGCCGGGCCGCTGCAGGGGGCGCCGCCGAGATCAACGGCGCTGCGATCGTTCCTGTGGAACCGCCCCTCTACGGGCGCTTCAGCCTGAATGCGCGTTTCAACGTCGACCAGGTTGGGCTCGCATTCGTCCACGGCCTCGACTCGATATGGGACGAGACGGGAGCTTTGCGAGTGCAAAGTGGGCAGCCGTTCCCTGGTCTTGAGAAGCGACAGTGCACCGTCAACTGTTGCATCGGAGCTGGCGGCAAGTTGATGCGGACCGCGGTCATTTTCCGCGGCAAAGGCAAAGTCTCGGCGGTGGAGAAGGCGGCGTACGACCCCGGCGTGGACGTGCTCTTCCAGGAGAACGCGTGGATGGACGGCCCAATGTGCATGGCGTGGGCAAAAAACAGCTTCCTACGCAGCATCAAGGGGGATAAAGGTGTCGTTCCAGAGGAGCAGTCCATCCTTTTCGCGGACAACCTGCACGCGCAAGCAACGGAAGAGTTCAAGAAATTCCTCCACGGCGAGTGCACCACGCTGCTGCGGCTACTTCCCCTCAAGTTGACCGACGAACTCCAACCGGTCGATGTCGGCTATGGACGCCTCCTCAAAGTCGAAGTCGGTATCGAGCTGGATGAATTTCTTGAGCACGAGGAAAGCCTTTGCCTGTGGGCGACCAACAAGCTTACAGCTGGTCCAAGGCGAATCCTTTTCACGCGATTCATTGCAAGGGCGGTCGCGCGAATGGACGCTCGGCCTGGGTACCGCCATCGCCTGTTCGAGAAAACCAGACTGGCGATTACGGCAGACGGGTCTTTGGACGACCGCATCACTCCGGAGGGTGTAGTTGGGGCGTACAACTTCATGGACGGGGGCATGAGCAGTGACGAGGAGATGCCCGACCAGGATGATGAGGTCGGCGACGACGATGGGGGGGCGGGCGGTGGCGAATCACGCTGCGACAGCGACGCAAGCGCAGATGATGATAATAATAACTTTTCGAGTCTAGGTCCGGTTTGTATTTCGCCTTTGCCCCTCGTTCTGCATGCACTGGTGGGGGGCTGTGAATTTGTGCAAACGCGCAAGTCTCACGCCGGCTTTTTCTCGATATTTTTTTTCACATCGCTTCATTTGCTAGGCGATGAACACGGCGATGTTCAAGACCCCCTGTCACAGCTAGACAGCGACGATGACGTCGACTCCGACGACGACATCAATGCGATGGAACTTCCGGTCGGATTCCGTCTTCAAGAGTCTCCTCCAGAAAAGCTGGATCGCGCGTTGATTAAGCGTTGCGTGTTCTTGAGGCTTGGTATGGGGTGGTTCTTGAGGCAGATCAGCCGGGCAGCGCCCCCGCAAACTAGACACACGTACGTCTACCGCGTGGTTTTGGCGTACGATCAATGCACCATCAGCAGTGTGAAGATGCCTCTAGATGCATACGATGTCGACGAGGCGAACGCAGCCATAGGAGCGTGGGCGTTGATCAAGCCGATCGACGATTCGAATGAGTCGGCGGGGGGGAGTGAGGGTGAACAGCCACGCCGGCAGGGCAGTAGGGCGCGAACCCCCAACGTTCGAAACATTGACCAACCGGGATAGTGCATGCCAAGTTGTGACAACTTCACCAATCGATTTCGAAGGGCGTTAGGGATATACAGAATATTTTGTCCGCACGCACATTAGCACAATGACTTTGCACCGCTTTTTTTTTCAGATCAGTACCGCCGGGTGTCGTGCAAGCATGTACCCCGCGGGTAGTGCAAAGCTTCGTGGCTTGTAAAGGAAATGGGATGATAAGAACTCGTGCAATTTGCATGGTGGCGAAAAGAAAGGAAATGGCGAAAATAAGAAATCGTGCAATATTCTCGTCGGGGAAAAATGGGAAATGCCGACATAAGGGTGTTTCTTACGAGTGGGCCGGCACTGTACCACCACCAGAGTATTTGTAATTCGTCGACGCCAATAAGGACACAGGCTCCCCTCGTTGGGGGGAGGCCCAGGTCGCAGGAGTCTTTACCCACTACTAAGGGCTGGCAGTTCCCTTGGTTGAGATTTAGAGAGGAGAGGGTCTCAGACGAGAGAGACAACAGGGAGGGGGAGAGAGAGAGAGAGAGAGAGAGAGAGAGAGAGAGAGAGAGAGAGAGACAGCCGCCAAAGGGGCGAGGGAGACCAAGCCCGAGGGTCTCGGTTTCCCAAGCTCCACATAGCTCTCCCTTCTTCCCCTCGCTCCTCGACAAGCTTTTGCTTAGACATGGGTTGTAGCAAAGGGGGGGGTCTTTCTGGCGAGCAGGGCTAGACTCACCCTCAAGGGATGACCGAAACCTTCTTGCTGCTGCGCATCCGCCGCGAGGCATGGGTGTGGTGGTGGAGTTGGGTCGGCACTGATGGGGTCAGGCGGGAAGGCCTTTCTGGCCGTCGGCGTTGGCAGTGATGCCCATCTCATTTTTGTGCGCGGAGGCAGACACCATCAGAAAGGTGGACGGGCACTACANGAGGGAGAAAGCGAGGAACCGACTGGGAAGGACAGCAACGAGAGCGTGTACGGACGGAGCAGGTCGAGTGGCGTTTTGCTCGGGCTGACTACAGCGGCGCCGGATGGAGCAATGGCACCGGAGCATGCGGGCGACATCGACCCGTGGCGCACGGACAAACATTTCTGTGTTGTCAAAAAAAAAAATTTTCTTAATATGACACAACGAGTCCATCTCTACCATAGAAAGAGTCAGCGACAGATTAACAATGGAATCATAGCGTCAGAGAAAACTACCTGTGTGTCTACGATTTCCCAGACAGCATATAGGGACATCTCCCCTGTGGGTAACAGGCTCAACAAATCAGTTTGGTAGCTGTCTTGTGTGTCTCATATATGTTATGTTGGGAAGGTGCAGACGAAAGGTGTTGGGTACTGTTGGGTAGTCGGGCGTTTTGTGTGTCGCACCCTATTATTAGTTGTAGGACATGCAATCTCCATCAGTTTACAAACATATATATATATATATTTTTTGCCTTCCGACAATTGCAGATGTACCTCAGAAAACTTTCACTTAATGTCTCATACTCTACATGAATATTAAACCAATACGAAGTACAACAACATATGTAGGACTTATTTCTACTGTCATTTACATCGTAAAAGTATCTCCTCTTCAACTTACCAATGACAATCCTGATGGTATCCTATATGCGTTCGTAAGCTTGCTAAAATACTACTGCGTTGATGTCCGCTTGTAAAAGCTGAAATCCAACAAATGCTTTGATCCATGCTACATCTCCGTGTTGGAAAAGCCCTTTCATCTCCGTTCATGATAACATCTTACCCTATTCTACGCAAATCTGTCACATCTACTCTCAAACAAGACGCCAACTTCAAACGAAAACGCGTTCTACGATGCGTCTACACTCCATCCCCATATCATTGGCGTTGACTGGTCCGAGGTCGATCTTGTTCGCCTGTTTTCGGCGTCTTGACGCCCGCGCAATGCGAGCTTGTACCTCTGCACTCGCCGAGATATGGCCACCTGTGTAGCCACCGAAACGATCTGAAGAAGTCGTTCCTTGAAGACTCCTTTCAGAGCCATCGTTCCTCCGTCCCTTCCTCCCACGGCATGTGTCGCAAGTTCATCGATGAACTCGTAACCCTCCTCTCCAAGGCGGCCAAAGCTTTCCACGGCTAAGGTGGTAAGTTTATTCTCCGTTTGGTATGCATATGTGCGGAGTATGTGCGGCTGATGTGCCATCTCTATCATAGAAAAGAGTCAGAGACAGATT